CATATCTGTGTAAATACATATACTTTAATACTTTATTTTGTTGAATAAATGTTTTTTTAAAACATATTTTAACATGAAAACATTTCAGTCCCCTCAGTTTTGTGTTAAAAATGATTTTAATTTCAATTTTTTTTATAAATTTTGAATATTTAGAGAACGCGTAATAAGTTGCCCTATAAGGATGCTGTTTCTAGGAAAACCAATATATTATGTTTCCAAATAAATCTATAACTACATCAATAAGAAAGAGTATGGACATATCAGAATTCTTTATGCATAAGAAGTCTAATCTGCCAATTGTGTTTTTCCTTTAAAAGCGAATTTTCGTTACAACATTTCTTCTCACATTTTCAATCTCAACATATTATTCATGAATTATGCAAAATACTACTGACAAATATATTTTTAAACAACCACAAAAACAAAGCATGCAGCCTTAAAAATATCTACATTTGCAAGAAAACATATTTATCAGCATTACTGTTGATATCTTCCTTATGATGTTTTCAGAAATCGTTAGACCAACACAATTCAACGAAAGTTAAAACCATTTGAAAGACTGGTTAAGAACCAAACGTAGCGTAACACGGATAATTTTATGGAGTTTATTCTGCTCTTGCGTTAAAAACAGTAATATTTAAATTAGTTAAATTTTAAATTTCAAAGCTCGATGTTTACATTATTCATCCAAAAATTATGTACCGATGATTCATTGAAATAATAAAAGGGGAGAAAAGATGTCTATCAAATAGGGAATATTCCTCTAAAATACACAGAGAAATACTTCTGTGACATTAACAATATCCTTACAACGATAACTAACCAAATTCTTATGATAATGGAAACATCCGATTACAGTCATTACTGATGTAACACAAGAAAAAGGATTTATGCAATTTTACGAATCTAAATTTTCCATTTTTTAAGTCTTCTTACGGTAATAAAGCATGCATTCCTTTTTGCTTTTAGTCTTCTATTAGAAGCCTGGAAAATTCGTATCTCCTTTCAGAAAAAGAATCATATCATAGATGTCAAAAACAGGGAAGAAGAGAGTGGAAGGAAAAGTAAGAGAATAAATAAATACGGAAATCCATCCTCTGGCAAACATGAGTGAATAATGTATCATTTCAATCCTCCAAGTGTTGGCTGAAAAGTAGCTGTCGCTTATTCGGAACGGCTGTTTCTCTCTCTCTCTCTCTCTCTCTCTCTCTCCGACTGCTTGAGATCTTCCTATTGGATGCGTTTCCATGGCAACGATGAAATTTATTAAATACACAATATGGCGTTATATATTCAGTCAAAAACAGCCCCCATTAAACAAAAACTAGAATTAAACATATTTTATTTTGTTTTAAAAACACTAGTCAGAAACTAAAGCATAACAAAATATAACAACGCGGAAAGTAAATAACACTTTTTTTTTACTTCAATCGATGCAAAAGTTATTATTATAATTATAGCAGTGTGTATTGAAAACGTGAGCAAGTTTTTATTTGTTTGTTTTTTAATAACAATTTTTTTCAGAATGCAATATTTTTTTTTATTTCTAAAGAACCAGAGCTATGATTCTTATTTTGCTTAGGTTCATGTGAAAGCTCTTGTATTAATAAAGAATTTTAAAAAAAAACAACATTTTTGTCTGTTAGACGGCTTTTCTTGCAACTTTTGGAACATAATATACATGCTTAAAATGGGAAAAAATTATTTACAAGTATTTAATTTTATACAAAAATACTTAAGCTCATATCGTTTATACGGTTACCGTGGTGTTAAATATGATTGCTGGTTGGCAAAGGACAAATTCTACCTCATTCTGATTTCTCGTATGAGTATTATAAATAATATTGTTTTCAAATAACGTAAGTCTATTATTAATGGTTAGTTTAAATTTAGTGCCATATTTTTTATCATTTTACTTCAATGATAAATATCCAAAAATCACCTATAATGTTTGATGTTATACTATTTGTTTTCAACAGAAATAAATTTTACTTCAATCGATATTTTAACTTATGAGTCACACTATGAACATGAAAGTATACTTTTTTTTACAGAAGCTTTACCTTTAAGTTTATTTTTATGTTGTTGTGTCAACGGCAAATGGATTTCTCTAAATGAAGTTGCAGATAAGTCATATCGCCAACGTCTTTGCTATATAGAAAAAACTAAGAAAAACATTCACCAACCTAACGTACATTTAGCTCATTAGTAATGAAGTATTAATAAAATGGATTATACTTGAAAATTATAAATAACTATCAATAATAATCTATTATAATTATGCATGTCCTTAACTGCAATAATATATAGCGCAGAAAATTTAGAAAATTTTATTTCTAGGAAACATAATTTTGATTCATATTTTAACAAACGAAATTTGGTGTTATTTCCCAGAAAAGGAGTATATAAACATCAGTGTAGAGCAATATACATTCACGACAAATGTAATGTAATGGTTATAAATTTTATACCAAATATATATGGTAAAAGCGAAATCAACATAAATTACTGAATCTCGGGAAAAATATAGAAAATAGTATGAACTTCCGAAAAGCCCTTTTTTTAAATCAACATAAACCTTTTTTCGGATTAATAGCTTTCAGTAAACAAATGCATTCGCAGTAGCAGTATAAAACTTACTAATTATTATTGAATACGCAGTCAAAGACTAACAATTTGTGTAATTAAGACATTGGAATAGAGCTTGGAATAAAATTTTAAGCTTCGAAACCTGAATTAAAAGCATGCTCTCGAATTGCCAAAGGCGAATGCTTAAGAAATTTTTTTCTAAATAACAATTAGGATAGTAAATGTAATTATTTTTAAACACTTTTATTACAAATATAAAAAATTGCCAATTAATCGATCAGTATTTGTGATGTATCAGTTATTATTACTTAAAAAAAGTAAATGCAATTCCAAATTTTTCTCTGAATGATTTTTCTTGATAATGAGAAAAAAACAGTGAATTTATTCTACATAAAGATAGATCCCTTCGAATTGTATATATTGTTCCTGTTAATGAAACTTATTTTTTAAAAAAAAATGTTTTTAATTTTATTTTTGTATATACTTCCTCCGCACATTTTTGTGATATTTGAATTCAAAACTTTCAGCCACTTTTCATTTTTCATTAAAATGTTGTATTTGTTTTGAGTTTTTATTAACGTCGAACACTTACTGAACAGAACACCTGGGATGGAGATCCAACACCACGTTAACGTAAGGACTTTCAGTCACGAGATATTTCATGTTCATCAGCCCCTTTTGATTTCGTTAACAATTAAAATTACGTTGAGGAACACACACATCAAATAGCCCAAATATATTTTATTTATAAATTGATTTACACAAATTAAATTCGAGGTTTATAATCTGAGCATTTTTCTAGGTAAAACTTCACAACCTTAAGAATATTTCGTAGATCTTCATACGATTGTCTCTGGGGTGCGGCTGTTCCCACAATCCCTTTTGCTGGTCCAAGATCACTCGAGCGGCTGCTTCGCAAACTCCGTCTTTAAGAGGTCATTGCAGTTCCTATCCCTTAGTCCTTGACGTACGGCTACCCCCACAAAATTTATCGCGTGTCTTCGGGGAATAAGAAACTGATGCGGAAGATAATGCAGAAGACTGAAAAAGATCCTAGTCAACTTTCAAGCTGGCACTTTAAAACCCCTGGGTGCGCCTCTTTCACACCCCCAATAATCTCTAATCGGCGAGCGTAGCGGATCTGAATACGGCGCTCCTCGTCTTCGTCCCAACTGCATTGGTTCTTTGAGGCAATAGACGCAACAATGATTAAGTCCATCGCCGTACTTCGCATACCCTAGGTAGAGCCTAACAATAGACATGTCACTTCGATACTGAGGACACCCTACAGGGATGACTTATCAAAACAGGCTGACATTCATTTTAATTGGAATAATCCGTGGTCCAAATGTTTAAAGGGACGAGACAAAAAAAAAGGTTCACATGAGTTTATTTGCTATAGATCGTGGAGACTAAAATCGCCTGTATGTCGGAGAAGGAAAAGGTGTGACAACATAAAAACATTTCCCCCATGCATGAGGGAAGAATACAAAGTCTCTTTTTGAAGTCTACAGTGTCCCTTCTGAGCATTTTGCTCAATTTCACACCAAGCTTGAAAAGTATTGTCATGAAGTGTTCGCCTATTGAGCAGACGCTGCACCCTCAAATTAGTGCATCTTTGAATGGCAAATGCTCTAGAACTCATGACTCGCCGGCCACGATTTCGTAATTATGTCTACTCGTTAACGTGGCCCCATTAGAATTTTGTAACGATTTTCAAACTCATCTGGATACGAAAAAAGAACCTACATCTTCTAAAACAACTGCAAATTTCAGCAATTTTCACATGTAAATAATGTTATAAAACATCTTAAATTTTAAGAAAAAAGAAAGTGTCATACTTTTATTCTCATAAAATAATCTCGTTGATGAAAGTATTTTTTCTTCTTATTTATTAAAATAAGCAATTTGTTGTGGCTTCTGTTAAATACTTTATTCTTCTCTTTCTCTAACTTATTTATTTATTGTACAATGTTTAAAAACTATTTCCAGAACTAATTATATATATACGACAGGCTAAAGTATTAATCTACTGGTAAATAATTGTGTGTATGTGAAGTCATCATTTTCAATAATCCACAGTTTATTGATGATCTGGTACAACTTTTTTTAATATGGCTGCCAATTGGCGCCCAATCCAATAGAACAAAAGACGTAAAGACAGCAAAATGTCACCTGCCGCACATCTAGATTATTCTTTGTCTTACTCGATACTTACAAGAGACTGGGTGTTCACAACACTCCGCTCTCTATCTTAAGACTACTATGTTGCTAGTATTGGATAGCTTGGTTTGTAGGAGGAGGTGCGGCTTCATTACTGTAAGGACCAATGGGGTGGCTTAGTTTTGGCAACTGGAATTAGGCTTTACTATAGGTTTTTGAAAACGAAATCACATTCTCAGAAATTAGGCCATCCCAGGTGGGATTCGGATCCACGACCTTAGGATTAGAAGTCCAAGGCGCTATGCATAGCGCTACTGGGAAATTCTGTCTGCCTTTAAATAGTAACCTGTTTACCCTAAGATCCCTACGTGGTGTGAAATAGAGAGTTCGCTCTATTTATATTTATTATTCTACTAAATTTTAAATGTAATTTTCCAAAACCTGACATATATATGTTTGTTCATAAAAAATTGGCAAGATTTACAAGGCAATTGGTGACAAATGCTTTCAAATATGTGCTTTCTAAGATATGTCTAACAAATTGTATCTGACCAAAAATAATGTGTTAGAATTAAACACACATACCTTAATTTGATCCATGATGAGCTGACGAGTAGTATGCATGATATGATATCTATAATTTCTATAGTTTCTACATTAAGTTAGATAGAGAGTTTGAATTCAATTTTCTTTTATAAAATGTAAAAATTCCTATATTTTTTCTATCGATAATCCTTAGGAATTTTGTTCTTATCCAAAATTTTATTAAAAGCTGTCAGACGTAAAGTGCATTATTATTAACTTGGCGTTACTCTAGGCAAACATGCTGAGGAAGTTATAACAGTGGCATTTGATCAAGTGTACAGTCAATAATACTTTTGTAGATGTAGAGTGATTCTACATCAGAACGGTTCAACCAAATTGAACATAACCGCGCGTATTTACTGAGTTCTAAGTATAATTAAAAGCACACTTCAAATCAACAGCGACAAGCTAATTTACTCAGTCAAACATTTGGTGGCTTTGTCTATTACCGTAAGGCTTTATTGGATTAATTGATTACTCCGCACTCAGAAGGTACACTGTGGCTTTTGGAATCCGTTAATAGAACCAAACCGTTTATTGTTGATTTAGCTTAATTGTTTTCAATCTGTATGCAAAAATTAAGGATATCAGGATTTGTTTGAAAAATTAAAGTGCAAAAATTGAGACTCCTTTATTTTATTGGACGTATATCTTTAAAAATTTAGGTTTTAATAAATATATTTGAATTTTTCTGTAGTAATACAAAACTAATTTTTTGAAGTTAAATTCTTATGGCACGGTAGGAAAAAATCTATGCTACGCGTTACCTAATACGCGATACGCGATGACATAAGGTAAGAATGTATTTTCCACTTCGGTAGAGCGAAGTTCCAACTTTTCGACGATTTTGAATTAGTCATCAAACTTTTATTTTTATAATCAGACAAAAAATAATAACAGAATCGGAAAGATCTTTTATTTCGCCACCATACGGTACAATTGTTGTTACAAAATAATGATATATTCTATTTTTCACGATTTTTTCTAAAATGAGTCAAAATTGATGCGTTTTTATGAAAATGATATCTAGATCATTACGTATAAATTTATTTTTGTGTTATTAAAACGATATTCTACACTAAATAAATTTATGTCTTTGACTTTAAAAATAAAATTTAGAAAACTATTTTTACAAATTTTTCAAAAAATACTCTAAATTTTAATTAAATATTTAATAACTTCGTCATTTATTAAGATAATCGCACGAAACTGTGTATATTATCCGTAAGCAATGTGAAGATTGAAAAACATGCTTAAAAATTACGGATTTTAAAAAGTTTTTTTTTTTTTTTGTCTAAAACACTTTTTACGAGAATCGATTAAAACAGTATTTTTGGTACATTTTTTATTTAAAAATTACTGTTGTTTGCAATTGATGGGTAAATGGGTGAATTTTCAAAATTTTAATGTAAAAATTAAACTCTCAAAAAAAAAAACCTAAAAAATAAAATCTTGCACACACTGTAGGTTTTTTTTTTTTTTTTTTTTTTTTTTTGCAGATGAATTTACCTTGAAGTTTCAAAAGTTTGAAAGTTGCGCATGCGCATTAAGACGAATTTCCGGAGCCCTACGAATTTCAATTTTAGCTCTTTTTTTTGTAAACAAAAACAGCATTCGGTAACATTGCTTTAAAATAGATATAAAATCTCGTAATTTTGAAAATTTCTATTTTTCTGTCTTTTTTTACGAATAAGACTATTTTTTTTTTAAAAAAAGAAATGGTCTGTTTAAAATTGTAAACAAACTTTCAAATGTTACTTATGAGATAGATAAACCAAATGATCTGTTAATTTTCTTATATATCCATACAAGAAAATTAAGACATATAGTTCATTTTACATGATTAAGACCTTTTCATTCAAAATCAAATTTCCAACTATGATAAATTCATGAGGTTAACATATAATTGAATGATAAACATCTGTGTTTTTTCTTTGTATTTTATATTTCTGGTGATATTTTGACTTTATGCTGATTTTGCAAAACCTACATTTCTTATTTTAGTTACCACAAGCCTTTGATGACAAAAGTATGTACAGAAACACCCATAAGCATAATGGAAATAGAATAATAATATTGATACTTTCTATAAATGTTTACCAAAAAATTTTTTTAGTAGTATATATTGAAAATGAAAATTTTGTTTATACTTCCATCTTAATTATTTTTAAATACAGTGTTAAATAATAATGATAATAATAAATTTGTCAATTATATATAAGATTAATTTATAATAAAACTTAATTATACAATTCATTACATATAAGTCAAAGAAGTTAACTTCTATCACGTCTTCACACTGATACATGCATATTTCTTTTAAAATCAAAATCGCCATTTCTAAAGAAAATGTAAGTTGGTCATAATTTTTGAAATATCATAATAAATACTTATGTTTAAATACAACTTTTTTTTATAAAAGTATCCCTTAAATATGTAAAACATTTCTGCACACTTAAAAAACAGTGCCCAAAATAGAGAACTTATTATTTTAGTAAAATATTAATATAATTTCTTTTAAAATATTATAAACTTCTTTAATTATGATGCTTTTTCTATTTCTTTTTTTTCATACATAAAACTATTTAAACAAAACAAAAAAAGCTATGAAAAAGTTAGACTAAAAAAATAGACCCACTTGAAGCACATGTATTCTTTATAGTAGAACAAATAATTAGAAACCATATAGTGCAATAGTTTTTTTTAAATGTACTTAAAACATATATCAGTACTACAGATAATATGCTGAATAATATTATACAAAACTTCATCAATAAGCAATATAATAAAGCTATAATTAAAAATAGTAAATATGTTGTAGATTTTTTAAACATAAAAATATTTATTCCGTTTATAATTATGATTTTGAAGATATTTTCAATTCCATTGATATCAATGATATTATTAAGGTAATTTTAGAAAATCACAGTAATTACTTTAATACTCTTAATTTCTACAAATTTAAAACTCTCATAGATTTAGTCTTGAAAAAAAATTACATTAATTTTAATGGTGCATTGAAAAACAACTATTGGTTGGCCTTAAGTAGCTCTGCTCGCAATAATTTGACTATTTATATTTACACTTTTATGAATATAAACATATTATTAATAATGATTATTACTTATTACATTTTTAGATAAATGGATGATCTAATTGTGTTTGATACAAATAATAATGTTAACCCCAATATTATTTTTATCATGATTACTTAAACCTAGTTAAAATTAATAATACTCCAGTTAAAACTAATTACTTGGAAGTATCATTGTTTATTAAAGATAATAAATCACATAGTAATAATTATGATAAAAGAGATGGTTTTAATTCTAACATTCTTAAAATGTCATCCTGGAATTCTAATTTATCCATTTCTATGTATAGAAATATTATTTTTAACTATATGTATGGTAACAATGTATTATAGTTAGTGATAAATCTAACATATATTTAAATTTTAATAACTTTATTATCCATTGTATTGAACATGAATACCCTGCTGATTTTCTTTACAATTATACTTCTAATATTTCTCAGTGAAATGTCAATGTGCAGTAATAATAGTTTTTTTAATTAATTGTACAGTTAAGCAACACATGTATTTTAATTAAAAACCATTGGGTAGATTAAGCTGTCTTTTTATTTTGGATAAATTTTTATACATTTTATATCAGTATTCAGGGTTTTTAAATGTAGATATATAGATTTATTGTTATTTTATCGTAATTTACTAATTTTATGTGGTACTGTTAAGCTTCTTTTTTCACACGGGAAACATGGTTTGATGCAGTTCTGGCGTAGTAAGTTTATCATCTAGTTTTTCTCATCAATTTTATCTTATACTAGTAATTAACAGTAGGCTATAATTTTATCATTTTATATTAATAAATTGTGTTTTTATTTGTAATAGTTATATTTCTTTTGATATTCTTTACTTTCCCTATGACCCAGAGTATTGGCAAATACAGGTAAAGGTTGGCTAGCCACAAAACTGTGTTTAAACCTGCAATATTGGTTCTTAAGGACAGGAGTATGCTATAGTACTACTGTGGCTAATGCTCCTTAATATCTTTACTAGTTATTTAAGGTTTTATAACTATTTTGTATATATTTATGATTTATATAAACAAAAAGGCAAAGAGTTTTGCTTTGGAAGGGAAAAAAACTTTATAGTAGCAAAGTTTTAAAATATTACAAAATTGATTAATACTTTCATGGCCTACTTTTTGTATACCCCATAATGGTATTTTAACTATTGTCTAGAGTTACAAAATGAATTTTAAATTCAAAAGTTTTTTTTCCCTTTGTTATCACTGAACAATGAACATATTTTGTATTTTCATTTATGTACTTTTTTTTGTAAAAAATATAATAATGAATATACAACATATTTTACATACATATATAAAACAATGAACCAAATGTAATTAAATAGTTTTTTGAAAATATAACTGTATAGTTTCTTTGAAAAAAGTTTAGAACTTTGAAGTTTTGAAAATCTTGAGCTTTTTCCTTTGTTCTAATGTAAAACTAGTTTTTCAAAGAAAAAAATAGACTTTTAAAAGAGAAAATATTACTGTTCCTTTCAATAGTAAAACAGATTAATGTTTTACATACATTAAACATAAGAGAAACTATCTTTTAAAATGTGTCAAATGATGCGCGGTCGTTTGTTTACATTAATTTTTTTTTTGTATTGTAAGCTTTTTTTATCAATGGAAATTTAAGTGCTGTTT